AAATAGAAGATATACAGCAAGAGATAACTGTTTTAAGTCAGTGTGATAGTCCTTATGTAACAAAATACTATGGATCATATTTAAAGGTAATGTATAGTATTGCACAAAGATTTGCTAGAATGCTGCTAAGAAAATCATCTAAACTTGAGGAATAGTTATCATGCCAACTTGACAATTTTTTTTAGTAGGTTTTTATTTTTCTTTGAACAGAGCTTTTAACTTAATTTTCCTCTTTTTGCTGCTTGCTCTTTGAGGTGGGATTTGCACAAAATTACTGGGGAATGGGGAATGATCAGAGATAAAGGATTCCTTTTGCCATTGCCGCTGCTTTTGGACCTCAGTTTTCTCTCCTCCCTCCACAATCCCTAGCACAATTTTGTGGCCTTTCTAGGCAAGAAAAAAATACCTTCATAAAACCATTCCTGATATGGAAAGAAACCCTGCACCGTGTAGAGATGTGTTGGTAATTATGCAGCTTAGTAGGCCTGAGACAAAGTAAAACTGACATCAGCAGAGTTATGTAACCCCTGTGTGAAAATATTATCTAAGGCATAATTTAAAAACAAACAAACAAAAATGAAAACCTGCAGAGATCCAAACCATTGAGTAAGACCTTTCAGCTTGCAAAACTGTCCAGGTACAATCACCTTAAATAATGCTTAAATGTTTTGCACTGCAGACATGTTTTAGATGATTTTAAAAAAACCTGAAACTATTTAATAAAAGCTAAAGTGTTAATCATATTTAGAACTATATTAAATGTCTGGGGGGTTATTTGCTTGCATTTGGGATCTTGTTGGGTTTGTTTGTTTATTTTTTGTTTGTTTCCTTCAGTTTGGGGGATTTTTTTGATTGATTCTGGGAGGTTTGAGTGGTTTTGTTACTTGGTATCCCCCTCAGGATTTCTGGCTTATTAAGGTGTGAGTTTTTTGATGTTCTAAAGACAGATCTCTGATAAACGTTCCCTATGTCACACTTGTGCTGTATCTTTCAGTGATACATAAAAGTATTAGCAGAATTTATTTAGTTGTGTTCTTTGTAGATTTGGGTTTTTTCCTGTTTAAATTGCCAAAGTATGTAAGACAACTATAGTGGCATTGGGTGTACTATGTGTTCTTTATACCCAAGTAAACATACAAATTGTCACTCATGTCCCATCTTTGCTTCTCTTTACTGGGCTCGATCAGTGGGATTTTTGTTTTGTTTGTTACTAAGTAGTAAAGCTCCAAGAAATAGTAGAATTTACTTTCCTGAATCATAGTATGTTAGAACAAGACAGCTCTTGTCAAGATAACTTTGAATTTACCCAGCAATGTTCCTCTGGAGCTGTGCACAAATGGTACTGCAGATCCAGACATGATCAGTCTTTTTTACAGTCCTTTATTTTCTGTGATGAGCGAAGTCCTAAGTATTATCCCCCTGAATATCCATCAACTTTGTCTTGTAAAAGCCCAGTTGTTTGCCCTGAGGTACAAACAAGTCAAAGTAAATCTTGGAAAGTGTTTTTGCTTGGAAGTATATTTTCTTGAAGAAGCATTCTGTGAAATTTTGGAATTAAACAGTGATTTCAGCAGCAGTAAATGGAGAAATTAAACCTTGGTTTGGTGAGCATTTGTTTTGTTTGTTCTTTGTTTTGTTTTGTGTGAGGTGGTGGGTAGAAAAAGCTTTCTAAGTTATGTATTGAATAGGGAAAGAAAATAGTCTTTTCATTATTTGTAGCAGTATAGGTATGGAAAGCATAGTATAGTTATTCTATCAGTGCTTTACAACTATCAACTTCTGGTTAGGGTTTTTTATTTTTTAAGAGCTCCTGTCAAATATTAGATCATCTTAATGCTGCAGTACTCTCCTCACCACTGTGTGAGTTCTTTCTATTTCTATTCTAAATGGATAAATTCTGAAAGACTAATGATGATCTCTTGTTTACTTTTCACACTTGTAATGTTTTTGGGGAAGAAAAGGTTCTGTGCATGGTGCTTGGGGGGAAGTGTTTGTGGACTTTTGGTTACTAAATACCAAAGCAAACCCTTAGTGCAAAGGCATTCATGTTACCTACAGCAGTTACTGGTATTTCTTAGTTCTGTAATCTAGATCTGGTTTAAATCTTTAAATTTGATAGGTTTTACTTCAAAGAAAGTACATCTGAGACCATGCGGTGGCTTCACGTTTTTTATGTGTGCCTCAGTTCATCCAACTGAACTGTTAATGAACATTTTCTGTTGTAACTTATTCTGGTTTTTTAATCAATCTTGAGTAAGCAGATCATTCTTGTCATCAGTTTGTAGTTAGTTTGAGTTTTCCCTTTGGCAGGATCACATATTTGATAGTTACAAGTTGTTTCTGACTAAAACAGGAAAGAAGAGATGTTAATAGTGAGGGATTTCCAATTGCAAGCATTTCAGATGAGAGATTTTATTTTTGTACAGTCAATTCTATACACTCTGCAGCTTGACAGTTTCCTTGCAGTTTAGGATGCAAAGGCAGCCTTGTGGGGATGGAGTGGCCCAGTCCCAGGGAGCTCAGGGCTTGTCAGCTGCATTCATGCTCTTCCATTTGCCCCTGCTGCTGAAAGGCAGAAGGGAAGAGGGTCTTTATTTCAAATACTTGACTTACTAATTTGTAACTCAGTCAGCTCAGCTGTTGCCATGTAAGTTACTCGTATGTTCTGCAGCCTAGCTGCTCATTAGCTACAGCTTGTACATCTGACTTGGAAATGTGATTTTAAAAATGTAGACAGTCCCTTAGTATTTTTCATAGGAGTGCGATGTTATTTGTCAGTTATCAGGTGTTTTAGTCTTTAAAAACCTTATCATTGGTACAAGATGGCAAGATCTGCTTCCTGTGGTTCTTGGGTTAAAGTTGATGACATTTTTCAGTTTTTGTGGCATGTCATTTTAACTTGGGGTACCTGTACATCTCGAATTTTGAAGTTCAAATGGGAGTTTCCCATTGAATTAACTTTAAAACTTAGATAGTAGTAATTTTTTTTCATAAATTTTCATTGGGTATCTGGCAAGATCAACAGTGTTTTCTAAACATACTGGTAGGTGATGTGCAAGCACGTATATAGTCAAAGAATGCACCTTAGTAAACACATTTGTGTACAATAGTAAAATGTTTTACCTTTATATCATTGTTCACGAAGGTGTGGAAAATTGTACAAGCTTACAGCTGTATTAATGCAACTTTTGTGGCTGTAAGGTAACATAAATCCTGATGTAGGTGTCTGTAGATGTTCATATTTGTGGAAGCTCAGGATCTGAATTTGTCTCCTCATGTCATATTGCACTTTGATTGCAATTAACATCACATCTCAATAAATAAAACATTGGGTGTGGAGGGTACCCGTGAAAGTGATAATGCACAGGAGAGCAGCAGGGTAAGTTAGATTAGGTAGCTAAAAGGGGTGTTTTCCTCAAGCCCAATGGCTTGTCAGAATGTATTACTACCCTACCAGTTCAGGCAAGAAAAAGATTAAAGGTATTAAAAGTTACCCTAGTTCTGGCATATTCTGGTTCCACAAATTTGTGAAGCTTGATAAAATGCTTCAGGTGACTGAAATTTCATTATTGTTTTCCTTATTTGTACCACTTAGACCTAGGTTTTCAATATCTATCCTTGTAATTATTACAGCCAACTGGGCTTGCTCTTTTCTTTTGCAATTAAAACAAACCTGAAGTTATTCTCAGCCTTTCAGGTTTGAATATGGAAAAATCTTAAAAGTAGCATCCAGAGACTTCCATCAGAATTGTATAGCACTTTGTGCAGCAAAACTTTGAGACAATTTAGAGATACTGGTTGTTCTATATTGCCTATTTATACTTGGCTGACCAAAAATAGCTAGGAAAAAGGTTGTTCATGCCTGGCTAGAAAATATCCACACCCGGTTACAGTGGATAGTAGCAATTTCTTTGAGACATTATTTGAGAAACACAGGACTTACTCATTTTCACCTTGTACTGTTTTCAAGTAATAGTCAAATCCTCCAAACATGTCTGGTAACCACAATGTTTGCCTTGAACAGGAGTTCCTTGCAGGTCTTCTGAGCTGACAAAGTCAGGCTTTATAAAAACTGCTAAAATTAGCCAGCCCTTCCCTGCTGAGATCATAATATTGGAATAGACTCTCATAAATGGTGTGTTTTTTAAATTCAGTATAGATCTAATAGAGCACACTTTGTTAAGATAATTGGATGTGGTGCTTTCAGAAACTGCGCCTTTATTTGCTCGTTGAGTTTTCTTTACATTTCCATCCCTGGACAAGCCATAGGGTGGGAAAACATACGATGGAGAATGCAAGAGGCTTTAAAGAGTTCTCCTGCCCTGGGTTTGTGCTCTGTTATAAGGAACTAGCACTAGTAAATATTTGCCAGAGACTTACACAGTGTGTGTGGTACTTCACCAGCTCTGGTTCAGTTGAGTATTTTTAATAACTAGTTTTTATTTTAAATAAATGTATTTTTTCACAGAATTTCTGGGAATAGTAGCCCATAGATTCATATTTGAGTTTTTCCTGAAATGTGAGGGGACTGTGGCAAGTAACAGATTCTCTCAGTTTTGAAACACACAGTCTGTAGATCTGCTACCAAATCTTTCCAGTTTTGTTCATAGGAACCAGTCACCTTTCTCAGCAACGTGCCAAGGGCAAAGTCAGCATCTAGAAATCAGTGTTAGAAGAATTTGCCAGTTCTAGTGGTTGAGACATCTCCACAAAGTGAAGGCACCTTGCAGCTGCCTCCATTAGGCTTTAAATTTCTGTTGCCTTTAAACAGGTTCACGCTCACACTCCTGCTCAAAAGTAATCTTAAGTTTTGAGTATTTTCCTCAGATGAGATGTGTGGTGGTGTTAAAATAAACTTTCCCACTTAAATTGTAATGTTTCTGTATCACAAATGACTGGAATTGATAATTCTAATGCAAAGACAGCCTTTTTTAAGAATCCCAACCTTACGTTAAAACACTGAGTTTAAACTTAAACCACTACCTAAGCACTTTTTCCTCTAAGTTCCATTCCTTTATGTGAAATCATTTTTAGATACTAGTTAGCAGATTAGTGCTGATGGGGCTTTTCGTTGTTTTTTTAAATACAGAAGTCAGACTTACAAATTAATGTTTTAGACTTCACAGGAGCTCTGTGATCATTCTACAAGAAGTAGACTTGGTGCATGTGACTTGGTGCTTAATGGGACTCTGCATTTGCCTTTTAACAGTGTACTGGTAGTCTATTGAAATAAATATAATTTTTTTTATGGCAGCCTTGGACTTCTAACAACTCATGCCTTCCTTTACAGGGCACAAAACTATGGATAATAATGGAGTACTTGGGTGGAGGGTCAGCTCTGGATCTTGTGAGTATATGATTATGGATTATAAGTACCAGTGAACTTTATTTCATTCTGCTCTTATAGCACTTTATAAAAATCAAGTACTTGGAGGCAGCTGCTATTATATCACTGCTACACTGTAATGCTCCAGAAGTAGTTCTGTTACACTGAATTCATGTTAATTTTTTAATTTTACTCCTCGTCTCTAAGCTTTAGGAAGAACCTATTTGTTCTCAGTCAAATGTAAGGCAGTGTTTTTCTAGTATGAGAAGTACTCTTCTTGCTGTATGTGGTGGGTTTGTGGCTTTGGGATCCTCTGTCCATCCCTTCTCACCTCCTCCCAGTAGAATTCATAACACTTAAGTAAAAACTGTTTTATTTAGGTTTGGGTCTCAGGAATGAATACAGCTTGTGTCCATGGATACAGTTAATTTTAACTGGTTAAAAGGTGTTGGGTTTTCCATTTTCAGGTATTTTTGGTTAAGCATGAAAGTGCCTTTTACTTCAGATAGTGTGGCATTCATGGAGGGTGTAGCTTGGAGAGTGCACGAGCACAGTCCACTGTGTGTGGCTGTGGTTTCCCCTTAGTTTCAGTACAGCTCTGCCTCAGCTTTAACGCTGCAGACCCACCCTTTCCTGTAAGATAATATAGCTCAGTCTTTCTTTGTGTGATTCTGAAGGGAAAATATCATGTCTTCACTATTACAGGATGGTGATAATTATGTATTTACTAATAGGGGTCCTCTCTGTGAGAGTTTTGAAGTATGTGCTTGACTTCACAAATCTGTTTAAACTTCCTTATGGAATTACATCAACTCAGCTGGAACCTGGTCTTTTTGAGAAGGGGGCTGTGAGATACTCTTAACACTTCTGAGTGATTGATAATTTTCTGTGGAGTGTCAGAAAGAGTGGAATAGCTTTTACTAGTGACAGTTTAAATCACTGAACCTTTAGAAGAATAAAATTTGTTTTGCCTCACTTTGCCTTACCATAATTTCATTGCTGTGTTGTTGGTATTTTTTATTAGCAGAACCACCCACCTTAATTGCTTCTGTTTTACTCACATAGCTTTCTAATGTGCAAAGTTTACACTTACTCACTACTAGGAGCTTTATAGTAGCATGTTATGTTCCTCATGCAAAAGCAAGCATGGAATCAAAAATGCTGGAACAAGTAAAAACTGCATCATTAAATTTAAAACTCACAGTCAATAATAGATTAATCTGTTTTGAAATAGGCCAGGTTACTTAATTTACTTAATCTAAATTGCAAAATTCAGATTGGTGTGTTCGTTGTCTGTAGGGAAATGTAACTGTGGAAATTCAGTTCTTGCTTTTCATGTGCTTTGCATTCTGAGGGGAGCACAGACAGTGTATGTTAGAGGAGGAAAAGCATTTTCAATGTATTACCTATCAACAGGATACTTTGACGATGATCATTTGTGTGATCATTCCATTCTACTAGAGTGTTGACATAAGTAATTGCATATTTCATGAATTCTGTTAGTTCTCTATTTTTAAAAAAATCTTTCAAGATCAAGATTTAATTTAACCAATAACAAGGCAAAAATTAGATAAAAGGCTAAAATTATTTTAATGTGTCTTTTCTCTAAAGCTGCGTGCTGGCCCTTTTGATGAGTTCCAGATTGCTACCATGCTAAAGGAGATCTTGAAAGGTCTCGACTACCTACACTCAGAGAAGAAGATTCACAGGGATATAAAAGGTGTGTAATACTTCAAATGTTACTTTTTTAAAGGCTTTAAAAACTGTAAGAGCAGTATTCTAATTTAGATATTATGTTATTTCTCCTTGGCAGCTGCCAATGTCTTGTTATCAGAACAAGGCGATGTTAAGCTTGCTGATTTTGGAGTTGCTGGGCAGCTGACAGACACACAAATTAAGAGGAACACCTTTGTTGGAACCCCATTTTGGATGGCCCCTGAAGTTATTCAGCAGTCAGCATATGATTCAAAAGTAAGTATGAGAGTGGAACACCTTTTTTTTGTATCCGATGATCCAACAGCATCTACTTTGATTTTTTTGCTTTTAGCTCTTATCAGTGTGGAGAAAAAAATAGATTTCAAATTACAGGGTTTCAAATACTAAAGTTAATAGTAGGATTAAATTGTTTTTATACTGTAATTACATGTCATTGTCCTCCCCTGCAGGACATGTGCAAAGTCACCAAGTAAACTGACGCTGTCACGTCTCTTTCAGAGCAACTCCCACTATGCTTTCAGTGTTGAGGGGTGGTTGGTTTGGTTTCAATTCAATGTTTCTCATTTAATTCAAACAGTAATAAAGTACTCACAGAGTAGAATACCACCAAAACTTGGTAGTTTATTTAAAGCCAGGATGGTGGCTAAAATTTTACTCTCTTAGATTTTTATACACAGCTCTGGATATAATTTCTTTAATGGTATTTCTGAGGATCTGTGTAGTGTGGAAAATTTTAGCACAGGTCACTGATGTGAGAAAGGTAAAAGTGACCTGGTAGCTGTGGTACCATTATGTCACCTTGTGCATTTCTTTGTCATGGGAGCTGTTGATGGATGACTAATTGCAAAGGAGAGTTTCCCCATGTGAACTAGCAGTAGAAAAGCAGAGCTACTCTTATGTGTTTCTGAGGATTGAGGACTGATGCCAGAAATGACAATAACGAGGGGACAGTCCCCTCTTCTCCTGTGTGTAAACCCACAAGATGACCTAGAGTGCATGGTTAGGGAAATGGCAGCATGTTTTAGTGCTGGCATTGGACTTGCCATTCTGTAGATACAACTTTAAATAGGAGCAAGAAATCTAATAATCCTGGGATGTGCAAAGTAACATTGTCATGCTGGTTTTTTTCTCAAACAGTAAACATAAAACTGTACTTGTGATGTGCACATAAAGAAAAGACTATCTGAGGTGTCCTGAAAATATTCACACTCCAGGAGACTTTCCCAGGATCATTCAGACTTGAAGGAATTTGTGTACTTGCCTCAAGGGTTCTTGCTGATAAGAAAGTTGTAGTTCTCCTGTTATGTGTTTCAGTGGTGCAACTGTATTGTGCTCCCTAGGGCGTTTTGGAAAAGCACTCTACCCTGCTGTAAAAGTGTGTGTTTGGCCAGTCAAAATTGGAATAATTCCTCTTCTGCTTGCCCTGTGCATAGATCAGCTTTACCACCCCTTTATTTATATTTTCCCAGCAACCTAATCTTTTGCCTTCCGTATCTCTTCAGTATGTTGCAAGAGCAGTGTCCTCCCCCTTTTCTTGCCATGCCAAAAGTCTGGTGGGAAAGCACAGGGGATACAAGCCTTTGCTAGCACAGATGAAGGGTTTGGACAGGATACACTTCAATTTCTAGACTAATACCGATGAGTGTTTTGGTATCTGGACTGAATTTTAACCTTTCTTCTCTCCCTGCTCTGAAATGGTGGAAAACAAAACAGAAATTAATACAATTTTTGTAGTGCCAGAGAGTTACAAGCCCCATCTCTTGTAAAAACGCTTTGCTCCAATCACAGTTGTTGGTTATGGTTATGTTATTTCAGTACTAAACTATGAGCTAGTTTAATTATTTGATAAGAAATACAGCTATTTGATACAAATACAGAATTTGTTTGTAATGCTTACTTTTAGCTAAAATAAATAGTACTTCATTATTCTTCAGAAATTTACACTGTGAACTTGGTGTGTTTCAAGTCTAACTAGTCAATAATTCTCCAGCTAAATTCATCAAGCAGTCTGTTAGAGAAGAAGTTAAGTGATTGCCTGCTGGAGTTGATTCAGTTTTCTGCCTTGTTCCCTTACAGCAAGCTGTCAAACAAGGTTGGGTACCTCAGAGCATCTTCAGTTTAAAAAGTGACATCACCATGCAGTTTTGGTACCTAAACAAACTCTGAATTAGGCACTGGAAATTCATTTCAGTTTGTAGTGAACATATAGAAAAAAGTCAAAGGAAGATCAATGTTTCTGAAGCTTTTTCCAAATGCATGTGAATTTAGGTGCCCATTTAACTTGCAGACAGTTTCAGAACAATGACTGCAACAAGAGTGATGATGTAGTTGTTTGTCATTAAAGACTGATTAAGTCAGCCAGGTCTTTGGGAATCTAGTATTCCCAAAGTATTATAAAGGAATATTTGCACTATCTACTTAGAGCAAAATAAGTTTTATTATAAAAATGCAGTATATGTGAAGATTTCAGTTATTAAATACTTAGTCATATTAGCCCTTAATTTTGTACTAAATGTCCTTTTCCCTTTTTTCAGGCTGACATCTGGTCATTGGGAATCACAGCAATTGAACTGGCCAAGGGGGAGCCTCCCAACTCTGATATGCATCCAATGAGAGTTCTGTTTCTCATTCCGAAAAACAATCCTCCAACTTTATTAGGGGAATTCAGCAAACCTTTTAAAGAATTCATTGATGCATGTCTGAATAAGGACCCAACATTTGTGAGTAGACCTATGTGTGTGTGTATACAGCTGTTTCGGGTTTGTTTTCTACTCTCTCGTGCTTGCAGAGTATTTTGATGGTGTTGGGCATCGTTGTTGATTGAAATAATTTTAGAGACAATACTTGTAAATGCTAGTGGTGCTTTTTAATAGCTCTGCCTCCATCCTAGTCTCTTTTGTTTAAAATACTCAAAGGAGGAGGGAGAATGCTGAAAGAAATTACAGTGGCAGAGACAGATTCCTCAAATGCACTGAAACCTAGGATAATGTCAGAAGAGAAGCTTTAACAGAGGAGAGAATCATCTTAGATCCTTTTCTCCAGCACAACTTTTGCTGTCTGAATTCAGCTTACAAGGAAATGTTGCATTGGAGAATTTTGATTAGTCATTTTCCTGGGTGTGACCTTTTAACGTAGAAGGATAAGCTGTGTAGTCTGTGGGTGACTTGATCGTATTTTTAGAGTGCTCGTAAATGTGGATTACTGGCTTTTCTTGACTTCCTGTTTCACTAATTTCCTGATGCTACAAAAGTTAGCTCTAGAAGTCCGTTGTCTTATTAAATCTCCCCTATTAACATTTAAAATCATGAAATGTTAGCATAACATTAAATATTTAAAGTGTTTCTTACAGCGCCCCACTGCAAAAGAACTTCTGAAGCACAAGTTCATTATGAAAAATGCCAAGAAGACTTCCTATCTGACAGAACTGATTGATAGGTTTAAGAGGTGGAAAGCAGAGGGACATAGTAGTGATGAAAGTGATTCCGATGGTTCAGATTCGTAAGTTTATTTTCGGTTTAGTCTCTTTCGTTTTGTTTTTTTTAATTTATTTAGATAATGTTACAAAAGTAAGTTTGCTGCAGCTTCTCTGTGTAACTTACTCCATTTCTGTACACCTGTCTTTGTTCCATTTGTTTTTCCTTGGCTTCTTTCAAGAAACCCCCTGTATGAGCCTAAAGACTAATGCATAAGTCAAGCTGCTTGCTCATTGTCTCTTTAAACTTTCTCTCTCTGAACTCACAGTTCTGTTTAAGTGCTATGTATTTCCTAGTCTGAGGCTAGTGGTTGTACCAAAACCAGTGAATCACAATTAGGGATATTACAGAGCAAGGTTGAGGTGCATGAAGAAGTTTGCACAATGCCAGTGGAACAACATGCTCTCTGTAAGTCTCTTGCTTTTCTGGATATCAGATAACTGTTTTAAATGGGATGCCATGGGGGAAGGTAAGCTTTGTGGGTAGATAACATCTTCTCCTTGCTTTGATCACATTTCAATTTATCCAGCCTCTTTTAAAGTTCAACTAATGTTTAAATCCATGTTTTGCTTCTTATTTTAAGGAACATGGAACTAATCTGTATAGATTTGTTATGTATTTGGGTTACCTGTGTTTGCTTGGTGTTATGTTGTGACTAGTGTTATGTACATGGTGTCTTTTTTCTTCAGGGAGTCCAGTAACAAAGAAAATAACTCTCACCCTGAGTGGAGCTTTACCACAGTTCGGAAGAAGCCAGATGCAAAGAAGCTGCAGAATGGGACGGTATGTACAGACTGAAGGGTTCTTCTTTCTAACTGCTGGTTCTGAAGCCAGTTTAAGGAAGATGGTGATAAAATTTACTATATTCACTTTTCATAGGAACTGACTATTTTTTTGTAGTTCAAGAGATGATTGATGCTTGTTGGCAATATTTCCTATGCCCATGTCAGGCCCAAATGCAGAGCATAATGCAGATTTACTTGATTGATATCTGTTCATAGAGGTGGGAATTTTAAAGACTTAAAATATTAGGGAGGGAAAACTGAACTGTTTTCCTGACCCTGTATGACATTGTTTGAGATGTGTCATCAGGCATCTATTTCAACATCCCATATGGTTTGTTGATGTACTGTACCTTTGTTGTTTTGTAACATATTTTAAGCACTTCTTAAAATTTAACTGAACTTCCAAAATCGCACATGCTGTGTCAAAGGCAAGTGTGTATGTTGTATGGGAATATGCTAATGTAATCCTTATTTGTTAACTTCTAGGATCAGGATCTTGTTAAAACCCTGAGTTGTTTAACTATGATAATCACCCCTGTGTTTGCTGAGGTAAGTTTTGGCTTTAAAAACTTCTTTGAAAGCATTAGCCACATGTCTAATAACTTTAATAAGTTTTAACTGTTTTGTTTTGCTCTTCAGCTCAAGCAGCAGGACACAAATAATGCTAACAGAAAGAAAGCAATTGAGGAACTTGAGAAAAGCATCAATATGGCAGAAGCAACGTGTCCAGGGATCACAGATAAGATGGTGAAGAAGCTTATGGAGAAATTTCAGAAGTAAGTAGTTTAGTGATAAGGGAAAAAACTGCCATGTCCAGTGCTTTTATCTTTGGTAGTTATAGCTAACACTTCCTTTTGAGACTAAAACTAATAGTAACAATTACTATGTCTGGTCTTCTAGTGCTGGAACTTTACTTTTTGTGTCTTACTTTCTTTAATTTAGGCTGCAGTTTTGTTGTAAGCATATTTACAGCCAGTAAGGGAGACAGAGAATCTTTGTCTTACCTTTTTTAGGAATATTTTCTTGAGAATGTCACTTCTGGTGGTTTTTTTCCTCTGAACCGGTTAGATGAAGACATGTACTAGTTTAATGATGCAAAAATAATTATGTGCTGTTTGCCTAGCTGAAACAACACAATTAAAAAAATTTTACTTGCATTTTTTATCTGTAGATTTTCTGTTAATGACTCATCCTAAGAAACTTCACACAATTGACTGCTGTTTCATATGGACCCAGTGAAACCCACCAAAACTACTTCAAGCTTGGCAGTGCTTAGCTCATGAGCTCCTTGTGCCTTTTGGATCTTTGCAACATATTGATGGTGATTGAGGATTTGAAAGAACCTACTCAACTATTTTGTGGCAGTGCACATGGTTTTATATTTTCAGGAAATTATTTTGTAAAGAACAACTTTTAATATTGTAGTTTCACCTGTTTAATCTGATAAATGTTGAGGTGCAGTTTTGCTTTTAGAAATAACCATTACTTTAGTTAATAGAATGTGCAAGTACAGTATGTTTTGATGCTGTTTTGTTCCTGTACATGGGGTTGTACAGGTCTTTTATATTCATGAGTTAAACTTTTGTAAATCACTAACAAGCTTCAGAGAAAATAGCTTTTTCACAAGCGTATTCAAAACATGTAATGTAGTGGCAAGGGTATTGCTGTAGCACCTGCTTCAACCAGCATATAGTTATCGTGCCCTGAGAAACAAACCTGCAACAGTATCTATTTTAATTCTGAATTGGTACAGTATTTTAGGCAGCTCTATGATTAAATATATTTGAGAGCAATATGTCAATAGTTTGCAGGTGATATGTAGCAACAGGTCTATCCTGATGTACAGTATGTGTATTACCTTTTAGAACAGGTTTTGAAGTAGTAATTCAGTCTTATATCATCATGGTAGGAAAATTTAGAGCAATACAGTTGAGGGGGTGGGGCTTTTGGCAATAATGGACAAAACCTGAAGTCCAGTTTAACTTAATTTAATTTTTTTCCTCTGAGTACACATGCCTGGGTGGAAGGGAGCCAGAGAAGCCGAGCGTCGCATGTTACATACCTCACACGCAGGTATCAGTGTAACACCAGCGTTCTGTGTGGTGGTGTTGTTTCTCCTGTAAGATATTTATACACATTTTTTTTTTTTTGTTCTTAAATACATTAAATGCAGTACATCAACATAATTTGTTTATAATTTTCTGAAAGTGTATTTTAAATATGTATTTACCAGTTAATATGCAAATAACTGAGTTATAGATATTCTTTCACAAAAAGGTAGTACTGTGCAGTACGGAGTGATTTTTTTTCATAAAAAGTAGGTAAGACTATAAAGTTGCTTTCAGTTATATATTTATGGTACTGCTAGATGGGTAATCTCTTCTGTTGGTTTTTTTTGTTGTTTTTTTTTCCCTTTTTCAACCCAGTATGTATATTATGCTGAAGTTTTGAACTGGGATTGTTTTTCAGTACTTAGCTGTGGAACTGTTGGTGTAAATTTATTTTTGATAAAGGCTGGGTGTGTTTATTTTATGGTTCAGACCTGCACATTTTGTTTTTGCACAAAAGTAATTTTAAAGAATCTGAAATATATCTGCCAAATATTGAAAAAGTAATGGTGTGCAAGTAAATACTGCATTTTCAGTCAAATGTTGCCATTACATCATTTTTATATAAAGGACACTCGTGAGAGATGGTGGTTAGATATGCCAAGGACAATTATTTTCAATGGTGCCTACACTGTAAAAAAATTACTTTTAACTCCTTGTTTTAATTTTAAAAGAAATGTTTCTGTTTAAAACTTTCATCTGCTATATAACTGAAATTCAATTAGAATTTATATCTGAGAAAAAAAGTCTGGAAATAGTTTTTGAAAACAATAATGTTATGGATTAAATAAATATTTTTATAAATGTAAAAGCAGCAAAAGTTGTAAATACAGTTGATCTGAAGCTTTACAAAATAACTGCATCACAGAAACAAATTGTAGTGCTTCTCTAGCTTCTGTAGTTGTTAGTCTTGTAAATCTGTTTATAGATGAAGCTTATTTCAATGTTTTGGGGGGTTTTAAATGGTTTAAAAATAAATATTTAAGTTCTGTAAACTTTGATGAGCTTGTTGTGTTGTGCATTTTATTCTGGATTTGAGCAGCTGTGCAGAGGTGTGGACGTGGCTCTCACAGACCTGTGTTCTAGTTCAGGAAAGGCGATCCTTGCGTGGTGGTGTGGGGGTGCTCTGTGTGGCTTCCCCCCACGCTGTTCTTGTCCAGAGGATACCTGCCAGCTGCTGCACCACAGGAATGAACCCAGGGGTCAGTGGGATTCCATTCCTAGGGAGGAGACTCCAGGATCTGTGACTCAGACAGACGTGTGGCAGTGAGGACACGGGAGCGGTGTCAGAACGCTGTGACTGCGTTTGACCTCGGCGCTGGGGAGTGAAGGGACACAAAGGCCTGGGCCACAGATCCCTCGGCTTTCACTTCGGCAGCCTCAACCCAAATCCCATTTTAAGGAGCTCCATACAAATTTTTCACAATTAAAAACATTTTTACTTCCATGTCACTTCCCTTAAGGTGTTCTTTTTATGTGGGAGTCCAAGGGGAGAGGTGATGGGAATTCTTGCCGAATTTTTTAACTGGTAGCTTGACCCTGTTGACACAGCATCTTTAATCTATGCAACTCTATGAACAGTTTTGGGTAAGTGGGGTTAGCAAATGACATGGGAAATTGGAACCTGAATTATGTATAATATGACTGTAACAAGTTGCTGAACTGTGATGCCTCTTCTTTTCCTGAGGAATGGGTGGGATGTATACCTACCTCATGGGACAGCGTGGGGAAAAACCCAGCCACGTGTATAATACAGCCTTGTTCTCTCAGAGCACAGGCCATTCAAGAAGGTTTTTTATTGTGCTGCATATGGCATTTCTGCTCCTAAAGTCTCTGTGCATCTTAAGACTATAATTAACTCCTAAGAATGGATGTCTGTATTGCTGGTTCCAGAGAAGCTGTCTTTTTCCGACATGTGTTAGCTATTGATGAACTGTGTAACTTAAGCAGCAGTGTTCTGTTGCTGGCAGATAGCTAGTGGAAAGATATATCAAAATATTCATGCAGGAACCATCTTCGTGCTCATTTGGTTTGCAAGGCTTCCCACTGTAGGTTGAGAAGAATTGCTACTGCAGCAGTCTGAATTGCAGAATAGAGAATTGTATTTGTTCTTGGCTGGTGAGTCCTGTATCAGTGTAACCTCTCTTAAAGCCCTTGGTCTCTGACCCCTCTCTTCGCTTCTGTACAGTAATTAAGTGTAGTGTTGTCACACCTGCTCCTGCCTTCAATCTAATGTCAGTAGCTGAATAGGAGATACGTAGATTTCAATGTGTTTGCACAAAGTTTAGCAATTGTTGAAAGTCTGATTCTTATCACACTGTTTTATGACTTAACACTGGAATAAAATTATTTTTCTCTTTTGCTGAGTTTTAATGGTATATATGCTGGTTTGTCTTATTTAACGTCTTTCCAATATGAAGTAACACTTATACAGAGATGAGGTAACTCTGCTGAAACCTGTCAGTGCTTCTCCAAAGTGAAGTTCTTTGAATATTGTGTACATTTTGCTTCTTTTTATTTCCTAACACCTCTGCCTAAAAAGTCACTGAACATTGTGCATCTGAATTAGATCAGCTTTATCTATTTTATATAAACCAGTTACCTCAGTCTGAATGCACTGAGTAGGTTAATGTTTTCACACTGTAATGCTGCTGTGCCTCCTCCCCTTCTATAATACTTCCTTGTGTAGGGGCTGTAACAGTTTAAGTTTTCCAGGTACTGCTGTCTGTCTTTCACCACTTCCATGTCCTCTCTATATCCTTGTTTTCTTCCTTAGAAGAAACAGAATCACACAGATGTGCTTGTCTCTTTGGGGTGAACAGGGCTGAGCAGGGACTAGGGAGAAGGACTTACTCAATGCTTGTTTCAATTGTTCCTTGACATGTGAGCCACTGCTTGCTGGGATTGTTCCTTAATTTTAGCAATCCCAAGAAAGCTGGTTTACGCAATGAATATAGCTTGGAGATGTTAATTTCTGTCACTTGCTGACGAGCTGCTTTGTTCCTCTGCTATTGTTGACTGTCCTGTAGGATGTGCTGAGGCACAGTGCCACGCTGTGCACCAGTGCTCTCTAGTCAATGGAAAAATCCAAAAATAGTTCCCAAGTCCTTGTTTCTCCTTCTCAATGCTGTTTTCCCAGCATAGCCCTGAGCACCAAAGCTGGCAGCTCCTGAAGATTTAAGCAGGATAGCTGTGCGTTGATCCCTCTTGATGGGGTGGTGTGTCTGCTCTGGGACATGCTCAAGGTAAAGCTGACCTGGGCCAGCAAGGGCTGTGTGTCCATATGTTTTCAGGAGCCAACAGTGATTGTGGGTATATCCCTGGGAGGGACACTATCTGGGCCATGTGTGCAGCCTGTTTGAAACACTGGTGCTCTTTTAACCTTCTAAAACATCATGCACATAGAGATTGCTATTCTCTGGAGTGAGTGGTGGTTTTTGCTCTTTCCAAGGTGCAGAGCTTTGGGAAAGGGAAGAAACAACTCTAACCAGAAGAATTATCCCTTTTTTTTTCCCAACAGAGTATGTGCCAGAGCAGTGTGAGGGATCCCTGTAGTTCACAGCTTCAGCACAGGGTAACCAGGAACAGAAGCAAACCTTACAGTGTGCTCGCTTGTTGGTCTAATGCATTCCTTTGGGCAACCAGCCAAGAATGTGGCAGTTTTCAGCAGCATTCAGGGACCTCAGCAAGTCTCCCCAGTTGCACAGAGCGAGCCAGGCTGCCAAGGAGCAGGGCAAGGTGGCCTGGGGGTGCAGATGGCACAGGGCAGAAGGAGGAACCCAAAACTCCATTGTGAACAACTTATTTTTATTTTCCACCTTCTAAAACAAAGGACAGCAGTGCCCAGGGTGAGCAGTACCCGTAAGACCAGTTCTTTTTATGTTTTAACTTACTTTTTTTGTTCCAGCTTCCTTATTTCTGAAATCCATTCTAGCAGGTCACAGTGGTTTCTCCACTGTGGATTTTCTGGGCTGTCCCTCTGCTTACAGTCATGTCCTACAAAGACTTACAGGGTTGTTTTTAAAGAAAATTATCAAGAGCTCCCCTAAAATCTTACAGAGGTGTCATCAGTCTCAAGATTTCTGAGTAGATTTCATGTAGGTTTAGGGTAATAGTTTTTGTAATAAAAATACTTCCAAGAAGCTGCCTGTTCCTTTCCTACCACCTCCTGAGGTCTTTTTCCCTGTGCTGCTTAACTGAGGCCTGATTTTGGGAAACAGAAGACCCCCTTACGTGCTTCTCTACCCGAGATTTAAGTAGGGTCCTGCTATCTCAAGGATAATGCCCTAAACTGGCAAGGGAGAAGACAAAGCAGTTTGCTTCCTCCATGGCTCCAGGAATTGCAAGGAGCACCCATACCCCCCTTGTCCTCAAGAGCCATCTGCTCCCTGCAGCGTTGAAGGGAGGTGAGGCAAATGAAGGAGATGGGCTCTGTGCATTGGCTGTGTCCACATGGAGTCATTTCCTGGAGCAGACCTCCATGAACATCCTGCTCGTCTCCAAAGGGGCCTCAAACACCCTTCCCACCAGTGTACTTCCCTGCAGCTGGGAAAAACAGCGGCTTAAACTGTTCCATGAGAAGTCTTTTCTTTTTCTCCCTCCCCCCTCAGTGAAGACTCCAGCAGCTGAGCTCCAAAGCATAATGGGCTGTGTCCTACCCATCAGTTTGGGCAGGACACAGGGTCTTAACAGAGCTTTGGGAAAGCCCTGGCCCCTTGCTGAAGCAAGACCTCCCATGTATGGTGGCAGAGACACACCAGCAGGGGTTGAATACTTCTGAACACTCCCCTGCTGTCTGTTAACACACCCTGGAGCACTCACACAACAGAAGCCCATCAATGTTTCATTAGCTGTAAGCAAACAAGAGTGTCACCGTTCCATGGTCCTGGGTCAGCAGCGGTCACCTCTGCTCCCTCTGGCTGGTGTCAGGCACCTAGGTGAAATACTTGGAGGGCCCCCTGGAAGTCTTTTCAGCAGCGCTGGTGGCGAAGGACACCTCCTCATCCTCCTCATCCAGCTGGAGGCTGCCGGAGGACAGGCGCACCCGGGCCATGGGTGAGCGCAGCACCCGCCCGTACAGGGAGCAGTAGTCGGCGGCCAGGAGGTCCGAGTCGGAGTCGCTGGACTCGGTGCTGCTGCCCAGGTAGCGCTCGGTGGAGCGCCGTGGCCCCAGTGCCAGGCCTTGCTGGGCTGGTACGTGCCAAAACACACCTGCTTTCCGGCTGCTCAGGGCAGGGCACGGCCCCAGGGGCCTGAACTCAGAGCCATAGGGGAAGCGCATGGTTTTCATGTCCGACTGGCTCCAAGAGCGCTTGGGAGGCTGATCCTGAAGGCCGTAATCGAAGGAGCGAGCCAGTGGCCTGTTCTCCCCCACCACGCCTCTGCCCACTGCCGTGCCCGCAGCCTCACGGTCAAACTCCCCAGCCTGGGTCCCACCCGGGCTCTGCCTGGGGGGTTTTGCTGCCACGGGGCCAGATGGACCAACTAGTCCTGCTGCGTCCTCACCAGGTGCCAGCGTCTGGCACGGGGGCTGTGGGGCCCTGTCCATGTAGAAGAGGAGCTGCGGGGCCGGGGCAGCCACGGGCAGGGGACACGGCACATCCATGTACACGAGTGGCCGGGCACTCACCTCCTGCATGTTGCCCACCGAGGTGCTTTTATTGTTCCCAGAGAACTGGTGGTGGGGCCGAAAGGATGTCAAAGGGTTCCTGGCACCAAAGAGGTCCATGGGCTCCCATGCCCGCTCCATCTCCAGCTCAGCATAGAGCAGGGGGAAGGCAGACGAGCTTTTGGAGTGGGGGAGGAAGGTGGAGGATGCTTCGGGCCTGGAGTGTTCCAGCTCAGCGGCGAATGTCACCTCCACCGTGGAGCTCCGGCGCCGGCTGTCCAGGGTGGGCTCGGAGGCGTGCACTCCGTTGGCGTGGTACGAGCCCCGGCTGCCATAGGCCAAGCGCAGCTCCTCCACCTGGGCAGGGCAGAAGGGTGGGTGGGTGCCCAGGGAGGAGCTGGCAGCGAGTGCCCAGAGCTGGGGCTGCGGTGCCAAGACCCTCTGGGCACAGCACTACCTATTGCTGGCACCACAGGGTTGTACCTGCTTGGAGACATCCGTCAGGAGGTCTGGGGAGGAGCGGCACTGCCTCTCGTCATAGCGGGATGTGTAGTGCTTCCTGCAGGCCGAAAACATGGGTGAGTGCATGGCCAAGAGGGTCCTGCCTGCCCCTCCAGCCCCTCCCAGGCACTGCCCTCCTCCGTGCCCCCCAGTACCTCTCGAAGGGGAGGCTTTTCATCTTTGCCTTCCTCCCGTGCTCCAGCAGCTGCCGCTGCGTCCTCCCACTGCAGCATAGAGGGAGAGGTGTGAGCAGCACCATCAGCCCCAGCCTTGGGCAGTCCTTGTGCCCCAGGTGGGGGGGTGCAGCTGGACTGAGGCAGTGGTATCTCTAGCAAAAGTAGCTGTTAGGCATCACCCTCTTGCATCCAGCCAGGGCTGACACAAAGGGGAGGCTCAGGCCACTCTCATGCCCTTCCCAGCCCCAGCAGTTTGTTTTTCCCCTGGGACTTTACCTGTAGCGGAAGCTGGAGCCCTTGCTGCACAGAAGGGCTTTGGGCTTTGACTTGGGTTCCTCAGAGAGCCTGAAGAAGGCGTGGTACTCCACACACGTCTTCCAGAAAGCCTTGCAGGTGTCCCGGCTCGCCATAGTGAACTCCAGTGTGTCCTTGCACAGCTCCTGCATGCCAGAGACAAGCGAGCTGGTGTTGGGGGCATGGGTCAGGCTGTGCTGTTTGCCCTCCTTATCCCCAGAGGGTCACACTGCACTGCCAGTGGCTCTGGGCAGTGCAGCATCACATCACTGGGGACAGGCCAGCACATGCCACATATGAGGGGAAGCAGCATCACCCACGAGCAGCAGGAGCGGATTTTATTCAAAACTGGGGACTTTGTGTGGCTGATCTTCCATCCACAGCTGCTTGCTCCTGAGCCCAGCAGCTGCCTGCAGCATGGTACTTACAGAGATATTTGCATGGAGCTTGATGAGAAAATGCTTCCTTTTGAAACTCAGTTTGCGGATTTTGGACCAGTTGAAGGTGTTGATTTTTGTATTGCCCTGCAAGGATGAACACAGCAGTTAGAGCAGGACAGGGCAACCTGTAAATACAGAAATGTGATGGGCCAAGACCTGAGCTTGCAAGACACTGCATGAGACTCCAATGCAGCTCTCAGTGCTGCTGGGGTCTGGAGAAGGGGTGCTGTGATTTGGTGTTTGACCCTCCTCTCCACCAGTTGGTTCTACAAGTGGAAATTAAGGTTCAGGCCTTAACTCTGCCCGTTGAAGCTCTTTGTAAAAGTCCAGGATCCCAAGACAAACCTCACAGAGTTCAAGGAAGGGAATCCTATCTGTCCCGGCTCAAATGCCATGAGTTAATGCAGAACCAGCCCACAAAAGAAATAAGACCCTTCTCTCTATTGCTGGGAAGCATAGCAGAGCTCAGCTCACCCCTATGCATTTAAACCCACCTTAAGCAGGCTGCAAGCCTACCTTACCTCTTATTATCACTGTGCACCAGTTCAGACACAGCCACACAACACTGGTGTCACGGGAGAACCAGCCAAAGTTGCATTACTCCACGCTGTGGCACCAGGACCCTCTCAGCTTTCTAGGAGAGCCCAGATTTCAATGGGCTCACAGATGCTCTAATCACGCGTGAGGGGTGCTCATGGCTCTGAATAAATAAGCAGGTCTGGCAGCGCTAATTACGAAGAGCAGACCCACAGGCAGGATTTATTGGGGTTGGTTTTGTTTTTTTTTTTTTTGCTCTGGCAAGACATTCCCAGGTTGGAATTAGCTGGTGTGGGAGGCGAGCGCTGCCTCGCGCCGGCTGCGAGGAGCTCTGTGGTGTTTACTCTGCAGCTCCGCCGTGATTACAGCGTTATGTAATTGCACAGACGTGAGGGGGCTATTTGAGCTGGAAGATTACATGGTAAGTACATGTGACAGAGCCCTGTAACCTGTGGTGCCTACACTACCATGCTCGTGGGGACAGGAGCCAGCAGAGCAGGGGCAGGTCCAGTGGCACACAGCAGGTGATGGGGCTGGGCCCCCATGGAGCATCCCCTCCACACCCAAGGTCTGTGGAGAATACTCTCTCTTGAAGGACTTCAAAGAGTTTGGAGCACACAGAGGGGAGAAGGGACCCCCCCAGCTGGAGGGGTTGTCCCTGGGGAGAGGGCACCCCCGAGCCCAGGCTCACCCGCAGGACCAGCACCCCCATGTGTGTCACAGCCAGGTTGATCTGTGTCCCCTCGCCGTCGCTGGCAGGATGTGGGCGAATCCCGTACATCTCCAGCTTCCTGGCCACGTCCAGCAGCTGAACATCTGACTCGGCCGGTGTCTTCCCTCTGGAGACAGAAACACACAGGAAGAAACAGGAATGAGAAGGCAGATGCTAAAATGGGCTGAAAAAATACCATTTTGGGTGTGCATGTGCTGGCATCACACCCACCCCTTGCCAGGCCTGCCTGCTGATGGCAACAGTCCTGTCAGCAGGCATCCATCAGGTGGTTTGGGTGGGTGGCCACAGTGTGGAGCAGCCCTTACCTGTGTCTCCGGTGGTAGTGCATAATCTTGTTGTCCAGGTACTCCTGGTTGGGCAGGTACCTGTGGGTCGCCAGGTGTTGCTGGTCTGTCTCCTCGTGGAAGTCGCCCAGCTCAGCTTTGGGGAACATGGGGAGAGCACAGATTAGACTGTGAAGGGTCAGTGCAGCAGGAACCCCTGGCTCCACAGCCAAAGCCCCATCCCTGGGGAAGGGGCACCGTCCCTGCAGGTGCTTGTCCTTACACTGCAGCAGGTGGGAGACGAGCAGCGCCGCGCTCTTGTCACTGCAGGGCAGCCGCCCCTGTGCCAGGTCCTTCTTGATCTGGAGGGTGAAGAGGTACCTGTGGAGGGAGACAGGAGCATGCCCTGGGGGGAGCTGGGTGCTGGGCTGAGCCATGAGGGCCTTGCCTGTTCCCATCTGTCAACCCGTAAGATGGACACCCTCAGGGTCACAGGAGGAGAATGCAGCCCCTGCAGAAGGCTGCAGTTGGGCACCACCATGACCAGTACATCCCTGCCATTGAAATGCTCATTAGTAGGTTTCAGAGTTAACATTCCTTTCTGTTTTCTTTGCATCTCTTGGGGCTGGCGTTCTGCAGAAGCACTGTCTTAGTTTTATTCTCAGTTCCTGTTTGCAATGCTTTCTCAAAAATGTAAGAGCTAACAATGTCATTTTTAAAAACAAAATTATTCTTTCAGGACACAGCTTGAGGCAGGAGCTAGACTGAACAGTCAGACTGTGCCCAACTGCTGAAGCGTTTGGCAGTAAACAAATTGCAGCCTCCTAAGACGGCTGATCCTTCAAGTGGATTTTGTTTAAAAAGAGAGGATCAAGAAAAGATACTCTCTGGGGTTTTTTTTGTACAGTACAGAGCTCTTTCAATACTTAGAATAACCACTGTTCACAGACAGGTTGGGGGGGGAATAAAGATATAGAATTAACACATGCTTTGCAACTGCAAAAATATGGAACTGTGCAAAAAGAAAGTAATAGAACAAGTGCTGTACCTGGTCAGCTCTTCTCTCAGGTGGCCGGGGTCCACTGGGAAAAATTTCACCATAAATTTGAAAAGAACCTCCTTAGGATCTTAAAACACAACACCTTCATAAGTTTTCTTTTACATGCCTATTGAGAACAATTACAACTCTCTTCACACATGCTGTCCCTTACAGAGTAAATTAATCTGGACCCTTACAAATCTGGGCTGAAAGCCCTGAATATCAGGGACTCCAGCCTGCCCCCCCAAAAATAGCCTGCCCAGGTCCCCAGTGTTACCAGTGGAAGCAAATAGGGATTCGGACATCTAAATAATACTAAGGAGAAAATGCCCCAGCAATTCTTTAAATTTGGGAAACCCCAGCCAGGAGGGGGTTTCCATGGAGCAATGCCAGGGGTGCTTGTCTAGAGCATGGCCAGAGCCCTGGTGCAATTGCCATCAGTGGGGCTGTGTGTTAAACTCAGGCCTCCAAGCACTCGGGATGCAACAGCTCCATAGGAGGCTGTTTGGGCAAAGTGTTTCTTGTGGGATGAGTGAGAGCAAGCAACCAAGCCCAAGGCAAAGGGCATGGAAGGAAGGAGGCAATTATGTAGGCACCAACTGTCCCTGAACCCTGTGGGATGGCTCAGAGGGAAAGGCCAGAAGGTAAATGGCAAAAGAAATTGGTGTACGAAATAATTCCACTTGTGGTACACCCAGAAAGGGGAGGCTCTTTATCAGGCTTTCCCCTTTCAGGGAAGTTCCTGCAAACAGGGTTCTGCAGCCTCCTCAAGGCAAATACTGGGGTTGTGGCCTCATGCTCTCAGTCACCTCCTGGTCATTGTGTATTTGGGGAAAATATTTTGGGTTGATTGTAGGGGTGGAAACAGGCATGTGCTGAAAGGAGCACTGTGTTAACACCAGTCATGACCATGGCAGGGGATGCTGAGCCTGAATTCAGGTCGGGCTCTGCAGCACCTCGGTGGGACTGGGGAGGAGCAGCAGAGCCTGTGAGGCACAAGAGTAACCCACCCTCACACAGGTCTGTGCTGATGGGAGCTGCAAAGGGGAAAGGAGGGCATGCAGGAGCACTGCCTGCCACACTGCCAGCACTGCCATGCAGCCACCCCTGGTCCTCCACCAAGCTGTCAAGTTATTAACACCTCAAGTCTAAAATGGTGCAGATACCGGATTGCAAAGGCAGCGGTATTTCCACAGGATTTTGTGTGAACTGAGGTGTCCTTGCAAACAGTCCTGCCAAGCCTCACCCTATAAAATGAGCTCAGGTAAGTGCTGGAAACCAGAGACCCCGTCCCCAAGCGATAGTGCTGCATGAACATGTCTATGCTAGTCTGTCACTGGTAGTGATTTAGAAGAATTTTGTTCTTGAAATACTTACTTTTGACTTGCTTTGTTATGGGTTTTAGTGGTTCCAACCAGACCTGAAACAAGGCGGTGAAGAACTGGCTAAATAAGCAGCACGAGAGATGGGGAACTAAAACAACAGCATCATGCTGGAATGCAACACAGAAATGCTGGCCAGCTTGGCTGCTGCAGCAGGTGTCCCACTGGGCAGCCCCACATGGATGGCTACGGATAAACCCTGTGGGCCATGGATATCGCTTGTTGGCTTTGCCAACAGGCTTGTGGCTCCTCTCCTAACTCCCATTTTCAGGTGGGTTTTTTTGCCATAATGGCAAAACTTTCTATTTAAGTTTTCCATCTGGTATTTCAGGGAGGTGCTAACAAGTCCCCAGCCATGCGGTTGATGGCTGCAAGGATGTGGCATTTGCAGCTCCAGGACCCCACATTGCCAGCTGTACTCACCTGGTTCCCAGCCTGGCTGCGAAACTCCAGCCCAAAATATTCCTTCTCCGCAAGGTTGAGGTGGCTGCAGGTGAGGTTGAACAACCCTTTTCCGCAGGATTTTTGCTACCAAACAAACACAGCACAGAATAGAGGGTTAGCCAATGCTGACAACAGCCGTGATGGAATTCCAGTGAGATGGGGAGAAGTTTCAGCTCCCTGCCTTCACCCCTTTCCTGATTGTGCTGCAGCAAAATCTCAATAAATTCTGTTGGCTTCAGCATGTGGGACAGGACAGTATGCTGTGCTCCCTGTTTTTGGAAATCAGATTCCTTATCAGATTCCTTACCATCACTTCTCTCCTTTTTTAAAGAACACAGAAAGAGGAGTAAGAGGAAAGAAATCTTGCTTTTGACTCACCTTTTGCAGCCATTACTCTCTGGGCAGCTCTGTCCCTGGCAAAGCAGTGAGCGATCCCCAGAATGAGCATCCACCTCAGCCAGGGACAGCCATGGCAAACATGCTTAATTAAGAGCCTTAAGAGCCAACGGGAGCAGCCCTCAAACCTGTGCAGCAAGCCCATGTGCCCCGACAGCTGGTGACCAGATTGCCAGGGACAAGCTACTATTATGGTTAATGGTAATTAACAGCAACAGGAGCCCGCAGAGATCCTGCGCCGTGGGCCCTGGGTCATCCGTGTGCTTCAGCAATATGAATTAAGTGGCACTACGTGCTGATAAGGGAGGCCAGCCTGTAGTTATTCCCAGTGAACAGAAACACTTGGAGCCTTGCTTGACTTGTTGCCTTGCTGTGTGACACGGTTGGAGAACAAGCCAGGACATTTCCTGACTTCGGAAAATGTTCCAGAAAGCACCAGAAATGAACCTGGCAGTGACCCACACCAACAAATACCCTGCTACTCCTTCATCAGCCTGTGAAAAGCAGACCAAAAGGAAGTGTGGGTTATTGCAAAAGCAAGCCAGAGCAGAGAGGTTGGGTTAGACAGCTGCTAAATTATGGCATTTCGGGTGATGGAGGGAAAGGCAGGCTGCTCCCTGTGGCAGCAACTGTTCCCGGCAGGGGCGGGAGGGACCCGGCTGCTGGTGGTGATGCACACTAATAACCACCTTTCAGGGCTTCTCCTGGGATGAAATTGCTGGCTCTGTGTTGAAAGGCTGCAGAAAAGTGATAGCGTAATAACAGCATTCACTCTGCAGCACTCCCGGTTCTCCTCGAAATTACTGGATCACAAGGGTAATTAAAACAATTACAAATGTTTATTTCCAAGCTAGAATTTTCTAGCATGAAAGGCCTTGGCCTTTGTCAGGCAGCCAGGAAAGAGAAGCATTTCTTACTGGGTTATTACCTACCAAATGTCTGCTGGGAGCGACCCACTGTCCTCCAAGCCCAGCACTGCCCGGGGCAGGCACCAGGGAGAGGAGCAGCCCCAAACCCAGGAAAACCTGCTCACTGGGAGACACAGCCCTGCTGCTGCAGGGGCTGCTTTAGAAGCAGAACCTTTCTCTTGCAGTGTTGCTTGCAGGTGCCCCATCCTGGATTTTGGGGTATTGAGGCCTCAGCCAGTGCTGCCACAAGCACTGGGGCACAGTCATGCTCAGCAGCATCAGCTCTGCACAGCACCGGGTGAGAGAGGTGGGTGCTGAGCTGCAGGAGTGCAGTGCAAGGCAGGAGTGTCATGTGTGATGCTGGTTGCCCCAATTCCAACCCTAAATGTGACTTCAAGTAGAAGATGGTGGAAAGAAGAGGCTGTGCTTGCCCCTCCTCTCCTCGGTGGAAGCAGCTGGGACTGCAAGCAGGGTCAGAAAATCAGAGGCACATCCAGAGACAGATAGCAAGGTATGGGACACACGGGACACACACACTCTGGTTCCCAAAGGGACTTTGGCAGCACTTGCAGTCCAATGGCAAAGCCCATTTTTGCAGCATTCTCCATAGCATTGTCTGCTGCACCCAAGTCTAGGGTTTAGGGGGTGAGCAATAGCTCATGGGATTTGGTGTGATCTTTTCCCACCACCTTGAAAAATGTCCCCCCCATCAGGCATCCTGCAGGTGGCACCCAATGCCACCCACCAAAAGCCACCAGCCCTGCCTCTCCCTGTGCCCTTGCTCCAGTGCCTCCAACCCCGCACACCTCCCGTCGATTAATTCCCACCTTCACAAGGGACACATGACCACAAGACTTTGCCCTTCCCTCAGCCCCAGCAATTAGTTTTTCTGAGCTTGTTTGGTTTGCCTTTTCTTTCTTTTCCTCCCGATGAATATTGCCCTGTAGCAAATTCCACCAGCAGAGATGCCCAGGCTTTGTCTGCCCAGGCTGCAACGTGGTTTGTCTTCTGTGCTGCAGAGAGAGGGCTCCAGGAGCTGCCCAGGCTTGGGGCTGCTTCGTAGAAACCCTTTCCAGAAAGGAGAGTGACATATCAGTGAGAACACATTCCAGGTCACAGCTCTAGGTACCTGGGACGGCAAGGAGAAGGGAAGCAGCTTTGTAATATCTTTTCTCAGTGCAAAAAAAAACATTAAAGGCTGACCTGTGACTGTTCCTGCACCCAGGCACTGGGGCAGGGGATCCTGCTGCTCTCCCAGTGAGAGGCATAGGGCTCACTGGCATGGCTGGCAGCACCCCAGCAAGATCCCATCTGCTCCATGGCTCAGCCGTGGGGTGTTCAGCAGGGAGGGCACAACAGGGGACACCCAGAGATGTGCCAGGTCCCTTCCTTCCCCTGCCCTGGGGGCACAAACCTGCCCAGTGCCATTCTGGGAACCACCTCCAGTGCTCAGCTGAAGGAAATCCTGTGAACTCAGGTCCCGGTTGTCAGCAAGGATGCAGATGAAGGCAGAAGCCTTCCCAGGTCAGCATCCAGCACCAGGAGAGGAACTCATTCCCATGCAAAGCAAACTGGAAATGAGACCTCGCTGCACATGCTGGCAGCTGTGACACCCACATGAGGCAGGTAGAGATGCACACGTCGAGTGTGAGGTGGAGGGGGAATCAGGCCCACTGTGTTTTCTCTCTTTTGTCATTTTCCCTCCCATTATACTGAAGTACTCACCATTCAAAAGAGCTTTCCCAAGTCAGGAAGGGTTTAGGAAGAGTTGCTTAAAATATCTGCTCAGAACTTAGCCCAGAGCAGTCCTTTTATCCTGGAGAAGTCACTAATTCAACTACTCATTTATCGTACCCACACAGCAGCAAATGCATGAAATGCCTAAAAGGGGTTTCCAATACCATTCCATGCTAAAAAAGGAAATGACCAGGAGTTCCTTTAATGGAAGCTATTTGCTGCAATAACATGTCGTGCAGAGCTATAGTGCTCTGTTTTGGGCAAATAAGAAAACAGAGAAGTAAAAAAATGCAGCAACATTGTACCAGCAGCATCTTTTAAATTGTTTCTTACTATGACCTGATCTAATCAATGTGGGGGGGAAAAAAGGCATTTTAAAATGACTAGCCTAATTTTTAAGCTGACTCTAGGTCCAGGATACATTAATTAGGCTAAATCAAACAGTATTCATACTGTGCTAAGGGATGGAATTGCTTTACAATCCTTTTTTGGGTAAAATGCCATCTCAAAGAAATGGAGCCGTGCATCTCAGAGAGCAGTTTTCAGGCTGTGCTATAAACCACAGAACAGTACAGTATCAGAAATGTAACAGAACTTGAAAAAAACAATTTATATTAAACACTCTGGTCCCACAGGAGATGCAGGTAAGTACTAGAACAAATCTACTTGAATTACCCAATTCACTCAGCTACTGTGATTATCAAACCCTAACCAACAGTAAATGTGCAATCACGCTGGTAAAGAGATGTTTCTAACACAGTCAAGATACATCTAGTTTCAGTTATCTACACACATATATATAAATCTAAAACCATAGCTATTAATACTTAACATTTAAAACCTATTTCAGAGCTAGTATTTCTTAAATGTGATTTATTAATCACAATATGTTGTGGGAGACACTGTCATGCAGAAAATAAGATACGGTTTTTTCCCTCAGCTTTTCACAAAACCACACAGTTTTCTTTTCAACTAAATGCCCAGGAGGAGATGCATACAGATTTTTCTCACCAGGGATAACTTGGATAAACATCCTACTTTTGTTCTGTTCCCCGATTTTACTTCCTTACTGAATGTTTATATTGGCACTTGTCAAGAGCATCACTTCATATTAACTGATTTCCTAAAGATGACACCAGATAAGTAAAAGCCATTCCTCTTTCTTTATAAATACTGCCAATAACAGGGGACAGCAGGAGTGTGTTGATGCTCAAAGACACTTAGCAATTAGTACTATAACCTCTGGTTTTGAATACGAGGTTGGTTTGTTTGTTTGGTGGTTGTTGCTTGTTTTTTTTAAGCTGAAAACCCAAAGCTATCACAGACCACGCAATCCTTCAGAGCAGCAATAACTGAACATAACAACTTCAATAACTAACACCAAAAAAGTAATAAAAATACGATATCCACTTACATCAACTACAAAGATCTTCTGGGAGTCATCCAGAAACTGGACTTTCAGGTGCAGCATCCTCGAGCATGTGGCTGAGCCTGCAGCAGGGGTGGCAGTCCTAGTGATGTGAGCAGTGTGCCGGCAAGGGAGCCCTGACTCCTCTTGCACACATAATTTCCCTCTCAGCTGGATGGAGAAGGCTGCAGTCACAGATGTGGAGCAGAGGCTGGAGCAAAGGAACAGACACTGCCTAAAAATGAGTTTTAAAAAAAAAAAATACTGATACCTCCCCCGGTTTAAATATCACCACTGCAATAAAGGATGTTTTTTGGCTGTGAATTATGGGTGTAGTAATAGGGGGAAGATTGGCAGTAATGGGGCTGAGATAAACATTGAGCTTCTACAGCTGGTGGTGAGCAATGTAAGGCCAAAGCGAGCCCACGATTTGTGCCCCGGGATCATGGAAGAAGACTGAGTGTCTCTGCTGCAAAAGTCACCAAGAAGTAATATCACCTTTTCTCTGCCCAGGTTAAGGTACACTGGGAGAGCAGCTGGCTGGCAGCTGTGCTGGCTCCATGAGGTGGGCAGATCAGGTCCTGTCCACCAGCAATGTGTGAATGGGCTGACATACTTCACCAGAGACTGGGAAACGTTTCCAACTGAACTTGAAACCAGTTTTGAGTCCTTCCTGGGGAGCTAGAAGAAAACCTGCTCCTAATTCCCAGCTTTCACCATGGTCTAGCAGCTTAGTGAAGTCTCACAAGCCTCTGAGACAATGTGGTTCCTGTTCCACACCTGAAAAGCCCAAGTCCCCTCTAAGTAGCTCATCCTCCGAGTGCCAGAGCCGGCTGCCCACCCTTGGACCCCTGGGCTCAGCCCAGGCTGCCAGGGGCAGCCTCCCCACGGCATGGTGGGTGCCTGAACCTTGCACTTGTGCTGCTTCTCTGCCCCAGCTGCTGTGGGGGCTGCAATGTCCTGTCTGACCTCTCTGGCCACTCACTGAGCACTCAGGTGGGGGCAGTGTCTGGGCAGGAGCCCCCACTTGCAGAAATAAATGCACTGAGCAGTGCCAAAGGCAGGTCCTGGGCTGTCATAGGGGATCACTATTGCTGCTGCTGCTGGAAAAAGTCACAGCCACGCGACCCTGTGGGAGAGATAGAAACACATCTCAGCAACCGAAAAAGCCACATTTAGTGCTGCAGAGATTTTGCTTGTTGCTCCTTCCCCAGTTTCCACCAAAGCATCCACTGTAAGTCACTGCAGGCCATTTGGCGTGGCCTCTCTTACACTTCCCAAATATTCCTGGGGATGTTAGGACAGAGGCTGTCAGGGCATACATGTAGCTTGTCATCTGGGGTGCAGAGAGGAAGAACACAGAGGTTTTTAGCTACAGAAAAATTCATTAGTCTTCTACTAACCAGGACAAAAAGAAGCCTGAAAGTTAAAGCCAATCTGCTTTTCCATGCAAAGCTGCTCCACAAAGCAGCCGAGCCCGTCATCCTCCAGTGCTGGGAGGGGATGGCTGTGCCCTGTGTGCCGGCGCCGCATCAGGGACCAAATTTCCAGCGCTGCCCGTGGCCCCGGGGTCAGCTCTTTGTGTCACAGGAGGAGGGCAGTGTCACGTACAAACCATCTGGGGGGGCTGAGTGCACTTTCCCTCTGCAGTTTGAAATGTTTCTGCTGTCAAAAAATTGACGGGCACCGAGGAGAGGAGCAGCTCTCCCGTGAGCAGCTCTCATGTCACGGGCACAGCTCTGCCACGGCTGCACTGGGAACACAGCAGGGGCACTGGTCTGGCAGGAAGGATGTAGTTGGGTGTGATGGAGAGCCCCCAAACCCCAGAAGAAGCCAACCATCCCTGCTACGGGCTTTCCTGGCATGCCAGGGGCACGGAACCTGGGCTCTATGGATGCTATTAGAAGCTGGGCACTGGCCAGTCGAGTTGTGGGTTTATTTCATTACCCTGGCATGAAGGAAGGAGGCTGTTGGGTCAGCCAGAGCCTCCAGCCACCCTATAGAGTCATCCACACAGACAGCATGGAGCCAGCAGAGGTAAACGAGGACTTTTTTGGTGGTAGAAGAGTAAAGGACAGCCAGAAGAGACATGGGACAAGCAAGGCTTTCTGGGGACATGGAGAATGTTGCTGTAAGCAGAGGAGATCCCCTGCATGAGCAGATGAGAAACCTATTTCACCCCCACTCCCTTCTTCTGGAGGTGACTTTGGGGCAGCCAGAGCAGCACACATGGAGAGCACCAGCACTCCAGGAGGAGCAATCCTGGCTGAGTCAGGGCCTCCAGCCTGGTAAGTATGTCCCCCTTATCTGCAGGGGTGGGGAATAATGTGCAAATGGTGTGGGAAAGGGAAGAAAGGGTGAAGGGGGAGTGCAGCTATAGCAGCAGACAGGGAGGGGACCCTGGGCAGCAGCACTGGAACATGGTGGGGTCTGAGCAGCACCATGTTGGAGAGAGTTCTGCCTCAGGGCTGCTTGCTCAGCCAGCTCAGCCTTTGATTTTAAGTACTCTGGACCCTGCTACCACCATCCTGCATTCAGGGAGGACTTCAGTCCACCGAGTGTATCTTACCCCATATTGGGCTGGATGGTGTTGCATTGACTCAGTGTCTTCTTTAGCTTCTCAAGTACCCTGGAGCTTGCTGGGATGGGCTGAACAGAGCAAGAAGTCTCCTTCCTCCCAAAACCTGTTGTCCCTTTTCCAAGGAGAATACAGAGGTGTTCAGGGTTTGGTCCTTTGCTCCCCTGTCGGTGCTGGAGCAGAAGCAGCCTGTAGGATATGACAGAGAGCTGAGCACTGTGGCTACACCCTGCAGAGCCTCCCAAAACAGTGAGCCATTTGCACTGGGCAGCAAGTTCAGCCAACATCCTCCCAGGGGGCCCTAGTGATGGGCAACAAAATACCCCAGACCTCCTAGTCTCTCCCAAAGTTACTCCCAAAAGAGGAGCAGGTTCTGAGAGCAAACTTTGGCAGAATTTGACACAAGATGCTCCCCCTGCACCACTGTGTCCGCAGCACTGTGTGCTGCTGTCCCTTGGGCTTTGTCATGTTTATCTTCAAATTGGATTTAGAGGAAAGGAAAGGAAGACGGATAAATAAAGTTACAGAATAGAAATCTGCCATGGGATTTTAAACACCATAGTCCAAAAGGCAAGAACCCACACCCAGCTCATTGCTGAGCAGAAGTACACACTCAAAATGCCAGAGACAGGACTCACCTCAGTGGACTTTGGTCTGTTGTGACTTTTCCTATAACCACATTACTCCTCCTCTTCCTCAGCCAAAGCTGCCAGGAGAATGTCCACATTCCCTTCTCACCCAGCCATGACTCTCCCAGCTGCAGGGCCAGGGACCAAAACAGCTCTTTTCCTGGGAGCAGGCTCAGACACAGCCAAAGTCCTTCTGAGCAGCTCTAGGTATACAACAGAATGTCACCAGCTGGTTAATGAATACAAGGCATGGCACCAATACTACAAGCAGAAATTTCTATCCAGAATAGGGTACCTGCCACATTCCTGCTGCCACACCAGAAGGAATGGGGTCCCAGCTCTCAGCTGGGGTCCTGGCCTACACACTGGTTGCTTTAAATTTTTTATAAAATACGCCCCCAAAAAGGTATTTTCAAAAAACAAAGCCTGAAAGAACTGAGTTTGTTTGGCTTAAAAAGAGAAGAAAGAGGGAAAAACAATCATCTGATTGACGCAGGGCCACTCCAGGAGAACGGATCAGCTGTGTTCCCAAACTCTGGGGAAAACAGAGAAATTGCTGGAAATTGCAGGAAAGGTCTGAGTTGGGTCCTAGGAAAGACCCTCAAACCGTGAGACAGGAGAAATACCAGAGCAGGTTGGAAAAGCCAGGGATGACTCACACCCATGTTAGGGACAGTCCAGGCACACAGTCCTCCCTTTAAACCTTTAACAATGACTGTAATTTCTCATGTACTTCACAAGTCACATTATATCTTTAATATATCTCAGCAGTTAGAGCTCACTTGCCCTTCTAAAACTTCTGCCCCAGAACCATTCTATTTACTGAACATAATAAACAATGATACATTTGCATTTCTATCAAATTTTGCTTGCCAACCATCAGCTAAATAATCTGACATCACTGTGCTGAAACTCATTACTCATAAGTAATTGCTGGGAAAATGGAAATGATTGCATTTTTTCTTTTGTCTTTAAGTGGGTTTTGCCCATTAGCGTCCAACTGCAGGATAAGAATTCTCTGACCAGCATTTTGAGACATTATGCAGCAGCGTTTTCCTTCCCAGTTTGCCCCAGTCCTACCTCACTACCGTTCCCACTGAGGGCTCTACTCGAGCTTGGGGCAACGCAACATCACAAATACAATTCCCTAAAAGCAGCCCCACAGACACCCTGGTGTCCATCAGCTTTAACAACTTGTCTGCAAGTGAGACTGGCAAGGAGGGGAGAGCTGTGAGTGAACAGGGAGGAGGGAAGGTGAACACCCCTGGCCTTAGACTGGAAATTAAGGCAGGTTTAAAGAAGAATTGCATCATTTTACTGTGTCAGACCAGGTGGTTCCAGTGCAGGTGATGACACAATAATACACCAGCTATACGGGTTATTTGCATCAGTGTTGAGGCAGTGAGGGTCACCAGACAAACAGGATGGGGCTGGGGAGCAGTTCTGCTGTGCACAGGCCGCTCTCCTGTGGGCAAGTGCTCCAGGAAAACCAGCTGAGCGTGACCCCGAATGCCAGTTCGGCTGCTGGACCCAACTGTAATAATAACAAACTAAATAGGTTTAACTGAGTTTAAGCACTAAGCCAAATTAAAAGACAATTGCCTGACTTACCTTTTCTTTTAATTTGTTTTTTAGTAAGTTTCTGATTCTCAAGAATTCGTAGAATCATCAGTCTTATTCTTGTGATTGTATTTTTATTTCAGCTTCAGCAGCTGAGTTAAATGGCTCTTTTTACCTGCCTGCAACAGCGGAGTAGAAAATCCCAAATAATCTTGATTATGCAAAAAAGACCCAAAGCACAATTGCAATCCCAGACACCTGAGACAAATTAACCCTAAGTGCAAAACTTTCTTTGGCACCCTCTTAAAATATTCTCACACCACGCTAACAAAGCCCTGAAATACAAATTTATTTCCATTTCTGTTCTGTTTTCAGCCTGTGCTGAATCGTGTTTGACTCCCGGGGCCGGAGAAGAGCCCTACTCTAAGCCAGACCATTGCCAGGATGAACCACTCGTTGCTTCCACGCTCCCTCTCGTGGTGTTGGTGGTGCCCAACCACAAACGCAGGAAAGGATTCAGCAAGCAGGGATGAGCAGCTCAGTCCAGCAATCACACATTCCAGGGTGCATCCATGTGCACTGTTGACTTTTCTTCCTTTTTCAGATTTTATATGCTGTCTAGAAGCTATTGCCAGGCACTGCAGAAGGCAGCTTGCTACAAGCAAATGCAAATGACAGCACAAGCTGTACAAGAAACTAAATACCAGCCCCGACTCCTGATATCCAGACCACATTATCTCATTTTTAATATGCCAGTGGCACTCTGTTGCTGGCACAGCTATAAGAAAAGCACTCTGTGATGTTTAATTCAAACAGGTCACTTTGAAGACACAGGAAAGCAATTTACACAGAAAAGTAAAGCCTCATGAATGTATCGAGTCAAAGGAGCGCTGATGCCTCCAAGGATTTGGGCATCTCATAGCATTCAGGGATTTCCAGCTGGGGAGATGCACCTCACCAGCTCTGTACAGCACTAACACAGCACAGGCCGGTCCACACTGTCCTTGATTTGTTTCACACAAGTTGCTCCCAGGCCACTCACACACATCCCCACACCAACAGGGCAAAAGCACTGTGAGATCTCACCTGTACTCCTGCAGTCCTGTGACGAGGCCTTTGGACACCCAGGCTCCTGGTCCTTGTGAGTGCTGTCAGGAGGACAAACCCATCCACCCTGAGGCTTTCCATGACTCACCAGCAGATCTGTCCTAGATTGTGCCTCAGCAGAAAAATCATGGAGCCCATGCACCACAGCACAGAAATCTGCCTGGCAGGTGGACAATGCCCTGCTCGTCTGCTCATGCAGCCCTGGCAACAGAGAGCTACGAGACCAGAAGAAGCAGCAGCAACCCATCAGAAGAGAATTAAAGACCAGGATGGTGAAAACCTTTGCTGAGCATTAGAAAGGATCCTATGGCCAGTGGCTTTGTCTAAGGAAGCTGCCAAATTGAGTCTGCAATGCCCGGTGAAGAGGCTGAATCCTAGTGGAAAGGATGGAGTTCTAATGAACTATATTGCTTATTTTCACCACAGATGTGGTTTCCCTCTTGGCTCAAGACAACTAATTCTGGTTGAGTAAGCCTTGACTACATCTAGGCAAAACAATGCATGTGTTCTCCAGGTACCTCCAGGCCAATGGATCATACCCATCTCACCATATGGATTTTTAAGCCTGAGTTTTATTAATGTTTCCCTCTCAGGTAGCTCTCTTCCATCACTCTTGTCTTTTCCTTTTATTCTTCCTCAGAAGACCCTCATCACACTTCAGTCCTACCAAGGTGTGCCAAATTCCAGATATCCAGCTCACAGCAGAGCAAAAGGTGTGCCAGAGCCACTCTTCATAGCAGGCAGTGGAGGGAGGACAAGAGAGCAACACCCACCTGAAGCTGTGAGCTTGGTACTTTTGTAGTGGTCAAAGGTAATCCCAACCTTGTGGTTCATCTTCCAGGGCCTTCTGGCAGATGTTGGCAGCTACGAAACAGACATATTTCAAAGAACAGGAAACATTCCTACATCGTGCCTGTCCCAAGGTTTCAGGGGTATGTTCATAAAACCTTCCTAGACTATTAAATTGGGTCCCAAGAGGAAACCATTTAGATGGTCTAAGATGCTGAGCTACAGGTACTGAACAGGATAGACAGCTAGAAGGAAAGGAACCCAGCTGGACACCAAGGTACTTCTAACCATAGCCTGACACCAGGCAGGCCCTGCAGCTAAAACCTTTCTTCTAACCTATTAAAAATACATCTGCATTACTGAGATTAGACACAGAGCATTTGGCAAGGCTGTACTAATTCCTGGAACAATGAATGGAAAATAATGCCAGGAGCAGTAATGTGACTGTGGTTGCAGAGACACAGGGCTGGAAGGGACTTCAGAGATCCCACGACACAGCCCAATGTACAGAAGCAGGAGCTGTACAGCCTCACACACTCCTTCCTCCAGCAGTGCTTATCCAATATCATCTTTGAAAATTCTCCACTATCCCATGTAGCTGCAGCTTCCTCCAGCACTTCAGCTGTGTTCTGTGAGCAGATTTCTCTTTTTTCTAGCATAAATCAGCTTTGCTGAAAATTCAGTTTATTTCTTTTTGTTTTCCCATAGCAGCCAGGCTGTTGCCGATCACACAATCATTTTTTATTTGATTTTAAGAAAAAGGTTTTAAGATCTATCCCAGCAGTAGGACAAATCCCAAGCTGATAACTGATCATCCCATGTGTCAATTCCCAAAATACAAGTAGCCCTTAAGGAATGTCACAAACACCAAATATATTTTCTCTTTTCTGGGCTGATCAGATAATTTAAGTCTAATGTCAAGGCAGATCTTCTAAGAATATAAAACTGTATGAACTAGTTAGCCTAACAGTAGGAAAAAAGAGACAAAAGTAACTTCAAGAGCCAGAAAGCTCCCAAAAAGCTGAATGTCTGGTTTACTGAGCTGCAGTCATTTATCAATTATGATAAATCAATCCACCTTTCAGTAGAAGCACAAGAAGTCTAAGACTGAACCAGCTACATTATAGTCTCACAAATATGTAAAAGATACTAGCAGTTTTCATAAGTCTGATAATTTTTCAACATTGTTATTTAAGATCTAGCCCACTTATTTATTTACCTGCAAGAAGTCCAATTCTATGATGCTGGTGCCTCCGATTCCAAGGAAGTCCAACACACCCTTCCACATACGCCCCCAGGAGGGAAGTGCTACAGTTACCACTTTTCTTCCCAGGCAAGAGCAATTGAGGTCACCCAGTAACAGGCAGTGTTGTGGAGTCTCAAATCCCACACAAGTCTAATCACTGGAAATATGATTAGGAGAAAGTAAGTCACTGCTAGAAAGCTGTCACAGTGCACTCAGACAGAACCAGCAGAACATCAAGGAGCACAGACACGACACAAAACAAACAGTAAAGCCTCCCCTACAAGTGAATATTTTGCAGATTCCTGCAACACGAGAGACTCCTCCCCATCAATTATTGCAGTTACTGCTCCAGACCTTTCGGAGGGACTTGAAGAGAACCTCTGCTTTGAAGGAGAGCACCAGAGGTAAGTAGGCTGATTCCATACTAAATACACTGTTCCCGCAGAGAACAAGTTTCACCCCCTACAACCTTGCAGTCGATCGGTATCACCGCTGCC